TAAGAATAGTGTGTAGAACCTTTACCATTCAGACATGCTATTTCTTCTCTTCTGCCCAAATAACTCATACTTGGTTACTCATAAGCGCCCAGCCTAGTGGTGGTCTTTCTTCACAGATCCTCTCGAAGACTTGCATTCTTTTCTGAGAAATCTACTTTGCTTTTAGAGAAGCACAGCATTTGTGACTCAGCACTCATTTTTTTTGGTTTGACTTCTTATCTGTGTATTTCCCACTGTGTTTCTAAACTTTGCCAGGGAAAAAGCCTTGTTTATCTCATTTATTCTGGTATCTGCATATCTGCCACAGGGCTTGCTAAACTATCATAGCTGAGATGTATTGAGAAATAGGAGCCCGATTCTGCTGTAAGTTTTACACATATTAGCTCATTCCATCCTCAAAGCAGGCCCAGTGACTGATGTTGACTTTATTGCGATCGTGCTCGTTTTGCAAAGGAGGCAACTGAGGCAACAAAGAGAACGAATACCTTTATCTCCCCTCCCCATGAGCTTCATTACTAACGGCTGAAACTAGGACTTTAACCAGGCAATGTGACCAGGGAGCTCTAGTATAACCTCCTGGACCTCGGTTTTCTGACTTTCCTTGAGTATCTTTCAATTCAATATTTTAATTGAATTTAAATTCTTGGAGCGATAGCACAGCGGTAGGGCGTTCACCTTACAAGCGGCCAACATGGCTGACCCGAGTTCGATTCCTCCGCCCCTCTCGGAGAGCCCGGCAAGCCACCGAGAGTATTCGATATGCCAGACACAGTAACAACAAAGTCTCCAATGGAGACATTACTGGGCCCGCTCGAGCAAATCGACGATCAACGGGAGGGCCTTTACCTTTACCTTTAAGAGTTGAAATTAATAGCACAGCGGGTAGGGCGTCTGCCTTGCACGCAGCCAACATGGCCGACCCGAGTTCGATTCCTCCGCCCCTCTCGGAGAGCCCGGCAAGCTACCGAGAGTATTCGATATGCCAGACACAGTAACAACAAAGTCTCCAATGGAGACGTTACTGGGCCCGCTCGAGCAAATCGACGATCAACGGGAGGGCCTTTACCTTTACCTTTACCTGATGAGAAAAACTACTAGAAACAAAATGTGGGCAAGCAGGGTTAAGTTTATGAGGGATTTTTTTCATCTTTCAAGACCCAATTTTTGCCCTTTTGAGTGCAATATCATTACTGCTGACAATGTATGTTCTAGTATTTTCACTGGGCATTTGCGTTTCTATACCATATATTATCCCTAAAAACATATGGTTTTGCTTTGCAGTTTTAATGATGTCTTCCTGAATATATTAGTCTGCTTCTTGCTTTCTTTATTTCTTTATCTTTCGTTAGATATCTTGGGAAGATACAGATGCGTTGATATGGGTATGTATACAAACATATATAATTTTAACTGTTACATAAAATTTAAATTATATCAGCTTATCCTTCCAATACCGAATATTGAGTAAATTTTGTGTTTCTTGGCCTTCAACTAATGGTTCAATGAATATCTTCATGCAAGTCTCTTTGGCTCATGCACAGGAATTTTTCTCATACTTTATGTTAACCCAGGAATGGGATATTTAGCAAAGATATAAAATTGTAGTACATACAGTCAAATTATCCTGCAGAGTAACTGGATTTGCTTACTTTACCACAGAAAATATATAAAAGCACACATTCCCTAATAAGCTTTTTGTTTTGTTTTTGTTCTAGAGAAGCACAGCATTTTAAAGAGACTTATTTGTTTCACATTTATTTTGGGGCTGCAAGGATCAAACTCGGGGCTTTATGTATATGAAAAATGCACTTTAGCAATGAGCCACATTCTCAATCCTACCAACAGTGTATTTTATATTAAGTATCACCTCTTTATACTTTGGGTAATATTGCAGTGTAGCACTGTCCTCCTGTTGCTCATCAATTTCCCCGAGCGGGCACCAGTAACATCTCCATTGTGAGACTTGTTGTTACTACTTTTGGCATAACAAATATGCCACGGGGAGCTTGCCAGGCTCTGCCATGCGGGCGTGATACTCTCGGTAGCTTGCCTGGCTCTCCGAGAGGTACGAAGGAACTGACCCCAGGTCGGCCACGTGCAAGGCAAATGCCCTACCTGCTGTGCTATCGCTCCAGCCCTGGGTAATATTAAGAATGTTAAATGAGTTGCTTAAAGAATATTCATACAAATAGTCCCATTTAAAAATGAGCAAAAGGCATGTTTCTAAAGATAACACAAAAATAGTTCCAAAGTCTATGCAAATAGCTCAGCATCACTAATTATATCAGATAAATGAAATCAAAATCACAATGAGATATCGTCTCAAACGTGTTAAAATGAGTTTCATTAAAAAGCTAAATCATAAGTGTAGGTATAGATGTGCAGAAAAGAGGCCCTTGGACACAAATTAATGGAAATATAAACTGGTATAGTCTCTAGGAAAGAGAGTATGGTGATTCCTCAAGAAATTAAAAACACAACTACAATATTATTCAGCAATTTCACTCCTAGCTATTTGTCAAGAGAAAACAAAGATTCTTACCCCAATACACACACACACACACACACACACACACACACACACACACTTCTACCCCTGCATGTTCAGTGCAGCATTATTCACAAGAATCAAGATATGGTAACAATCTATGCATCTATGTGCATCTATGTGCATCAATGGATTAGTAGATAAGGAAAAATGTAGTGTTTATTACATATAATGGAATATTATTGAGCCATAAAAATAAGACCTTGCCACTTCCAACCTTTAAGACACTGTGCCAAATTTAATGAGATCTAAAGGTAAAAGAAGGGGACCAGAGCCATAGTACACTGGGTAGGGCATTTGCCTTGAACGCAGCCGACCCAGGTTTGATCCCTGGCATCCCATATGGTCCCCTGAGCACAGCCAAGAGTGATTCCTGAGTACAGAGTCAGGAGTAACCCAAGTGTGACCGGGTCTGACCAAGAAAGCCAAGGTGTGACCCAAAAAACAAACACACTAACAAAAAAAACAATTCTTACAAATATAAACAAGATCATGGGATGCCAGAGGTAGGGTGGGGAGTAGAAGAAATGGGTGAAGAAAAATGAAAAATAAAAAGGAGAAAAAATTTACATCACTGGCCAAGTTTTGTTCCTAGTAACTATTTCATTACTTCCCCACACTTGATATGACTTCCTTCCCTTTTCTACATAAATATTGAGTTTAAACACACACACACACACACACACACACACACACACACACACACACAAGTCCTACTAATCACCAGCTGATAGAGTCTTGTGTAAGAAGGAAGATAAGATAGATAAGACAATGTTTTGGAAAAGCTGAAACATGACAGCAGACAAATAGAGGATGCTGAAATGCCTGCTCAAAAAAACTGTGCTAGGGCCTAATTCACTCACTTCAGAAAGGCTAAGAAGGACCACAGCAGAAGAACTGAAGTGTGGACTTCAAAGCTTTAGCTCAGGTAACAGGCACTGAACCTAGTACCCGTTCAGCAACTTACTCGGACGCCAAAAGATGAGTGAGAAGACCGAAAAGCAAACCCCAAAGCAAATCAAGGGCTAAAAAGGCAAGGATCCATTTACTAGAAAGAAAGATCACCTGTCAGTAACACTGAACACTCAGGGAAAAAAATCCTAAGAGCTTTGGCATGTTAAGGAACTCAAAGATTTTTATCTATATGGCAAAATTTCAAGGTCTTGAAAAGAAAAAGGTACTAATAATAAATCAAGTAAAAATGTTCTTTTCTCCTTCCTCTTTTTTCTCTGCTTTTACCTGACTCATACACATATATCTGTTCTTAAAATACATAGCACATTCGCATGTTCAGGTAACCTGTGAAATGTTATTGGTAGGGGGGAGGGAAATGTGTGAGACAACAATGTGTATCGTCAACTTTTAAACTGCAATGAATATGGTTCTTTCTCAAAGTACATTTCTTTTTTTTTTCTTGAACTCTGACCTAAAAACAATGATCATGACTGAGAAGGCAGATTACAGGTTAAAAGGAAAGAAAATAAAAAAAATAAATAAATAAAATTTAAAAAATAAAAGGAAGAGGTACAGGGTGTAATGGAAAAGTTCATTTGTTGGACATCTACTTTGTGCTTCATTTGGATCATCATTTAATTTACACACTTAGAAACTGAAACTAGGGCCAGAGCAATAGTACAGCAGATAGGGGGCTTGTCTTGCATGTAGTCAACCTGGGTTTGATCCCCGGAACTCTATAAGGTAACCATGAGTGATCCTGGAACAGAGAGCCAGGACTAAGCTCTGTGCACGGTGGGTGGGAGCCAAAACCCTCTCCCGAAAAGAAACTGAAGCTGAGTTGGGTTTTCCTCCTAACTCACCTGTAGTATAAATGGTGGCCTAATGACTCCAAAGTCTATTCTCTATTCTATCATGCTGAGGCGGAAATAATTACTACTGAAACAGGTTAAAGTGTAAATTTTAACAAAGACAGGTTCCTATCATGTAATAAAGATATCACTAGACATGAAAAGTAAACTTATGTTACTAATTATTCAAGGAACTACATTTTCAAAGTTTCTAGAACAGGTTAAAGCAAAATAACAATAATCATTATGGGAGGAGGGCTATGAGTCAACATTGGGAAGACTTTCTGTAAGATTAGCTCTGTTCTGAGAGAGTTGATTACACCTGGAAAATGTCTGAGAAAGGAAGCAGCAGGAGTTATACCACTGACTGCCTAGATCAGGAGTCTGAGGTCAACTATAACAGCCAGACAGTCTTAAAACCCAAGTCCCCCACAAAGGCTAGCTTACTAAAATCACTCATCCACTGTGCTAGGTGCTTCTTGAACTAAAAAGCACCTTCCTCACAAAATCATTATTATCCAAATATTACCAAATAATAATGGAAGGATATACATGATCCCTCGAGTCAAACACACTTCCTGAAGCTCAATTTAAATATGCCACAAAACAATGAGTCACCCCAGCTTATGCCAAGTGCAATCACTTACCTGGGGTTGTGAAATCACAGGGGTGGAAGTAGATGCAGTGGCCATTGCAGCTCTCTAGTTGCGGGCAGTGACCAGGCCCCAGCACTCCGGTTCCAGACACAGAAGTCAAATTCTTGTGGCTGCTAATCAGATGGAAGTCATACTAGGAGAAACTGTGTACCTGGAAACGGATATGAAATGCCATATTTAGCTTAAGAGGGTGAGTCTACAGGAGTAAACTGAAGTTGGCCAGGAGAAGCAAATCTTTGCTCTGCAATAGTCACTGCAAGGAAGCACCCCAGGAGAAAGGCATCTGAAAACTCAAATTAAGGACTTGTGCATAATTTACCTAAACCTGTACATTCAGTACAAATCACGTGTACCTATTTCATAAATCTAAATCCAACTCTGCGTGCATTACAATGTGTTGTTTGGGAAGAGAGTTTCAAATTGTAAAGATGGGGAGAGTGGGCCAAGGGGAGAAGTCAGTCTACCATTAGATAATAACAGTCAGATCTGACTGTTAATAAGTGAAGGTTAAGAGATTAATACTACCAATTGTCTCAGAGATCTCCCAGAAAAAAGTCGGACCGTTTAGAAAAAACAGGCATGGAGAAAAAAATGGGGCAAAAATCATACATTAATAGCAGAACTAGGAGGAGAGCAATATCCAATTACTAGTCCAATAAGAAACTTAAGAAAGTGACAGAGTAACAGGAGTCAGTCATAGGAATGAGTTAGGCAACTGAATGGGGACAAAAGAAGAGCGTATGTAAGTCAGATTCCCACACTTATGAGAAAAGAACATTCCAAAACTCTCTTTGACATCTCAGAGAATGCTAGGTAAGCACAAAATATAACCAAAACTTCCCTATTTATTTGTGGAATTAAGAAAATAGAAAACATCAAATTCTCTGCACAGAACATGTCTCAAATTCTATCAAAATGCTGATTCCACACTGAAATTAATTCAGAAGTTGGTTGGCAGGGAATGGGGGGAGGATAGTTATCAATTACCAACCTTTTATTGCCTCAATTAAAATCATTAAAACTACTATCATAAAAATTTCTTAGTAGTGATTTATGATTTTTTTTGTTGTTTGACTTTGTCAACATTTTATTTTCAAAAATAATTTAAGTACCGTGATTTATAAAGTTATTCATAATTGAGTTTTAGACATAAAATGTTCGAGCACTAATCCCCCCACCTGTATCAATTTCTGTCTACCAATGTTCCCAGGTGCCTTCCCAATACCATCACCCAGCCTGCCCTCTTGACAGGCATCTATTTCAATTTCAATTGTTAAAGTTTGGGTCTCATGATTTCAGTGTTGTGAACTCTGTGGTTTGGATATTTGACTCTATCATACCTTAACACCACCAATGTGCCTGAAGTCCCTTGACCTGTCCCCCTATCCCTACCAACTCCACTGCTTCTCATCTGTCTCTTCCCCTCTTCCCCCCACACTTATTTCTTTACTTATCGTCCCTATATCTGGGGCCAGGAGTGATCTAGGCATCTCCCTGAGAAGGGAGAAATTTTTTTTCCCTTTAAGAAAAGAAGTTTAGAAAATTCTTTAAGAAAAACAATTCATGTTTCTGTAGTTCTCATATCACCTAACAATGTCTTTAATTTTATTCGAAACTACTAATTGCTCATCTACAGGGACCAAGGGGCATAATGAATAAAACACCCTGCTTGAGCCTGCAGAGAGACTAGAAAGCCTGTTGCTTGACTCTCCAGTTTCGTGAGGATATAAGACAATGCCTAAACCTTTCAAACTATCAGGAAAAAACCTTCCCCCAAAATTTTAACTGTAGTTTGTGTAACACAGTTATAACAGTATTAACTTATGATAAACAAAATTACTACTACTTCACCACGACCAAAGTGCCCAAGATGTGTTGCCACTAGTCTGCCTTTACAATCTCCCCAGCTTGATAATCTGTTCTGAAATCATACTCTGGCAATATGTACATATTTAGGTATATATATAATATATAGAGATACACATATATGAAACGGTAGTTTTCTCCCAGTTGCCCCTCGGCCATGCCAACTGCTCTTTTTCCTTGTCCCCATTTAACTCCATTTTCCTTTCTAGGCATCTCTTCTGCTCCATCTCATTCATCTCCAAACCACAAAACAAGTGTCTCTAACAAGCAAAAGATGAACTTCATCTCTTACTTATTCACTTGCCCCTTCATCCCATCTTCTATTGTCACTGGGAATGAATCATTTCAACATCTCTTCCTATAATTCAGAAAGGATATACAGAACGCAATTTGAAAAAAAAAGAAAGCAACTTTAGCTCACACCTGTGTATCAGATACTAGAGTGATAACCAAGTGACTACATGAATGGAAAATTTCCCAATGCAGATCTAGAAGCCATAGATGGATCACAGTTATTACTTAAACTTCCAGCAGTATAAACTGGGAAGAATCAGCATGAGCAGTTGAAGAAAAGGATTAGCCACAGTGTTCCCAGCATGTGAATCTGTCACTGTAGGGACAGAAAATAAGCAAATAAGAGCTTAGGAGACTTTTTATTATACCCCCATTCAGAGGGAGGAGGGCTGAGGGGAGCTTACTCTGGGAGAACTAGACTGTATTTAATATATACACACGCCTTACGAGGAGTTCCTGGCTCCAGGGGCCAACTGAACACGTAATCTCTGACCGCATTCATTCTGATTTATGTGGCCATGATGACTGCCCCAGAAAACATGAGGGGAAAAAAACATTACCCACGGACTTCTGAAACAAGTAATGGAGCCATGTAACAGTGATCTTGCTAATTATTGAGTTCCACACCAAATACCTAAAAAAACATCTCTGGTTCTAAGGCAAGCGTCGTTTAATTACTTCTGAAGCTGATGCTGGCTCCTTCCCTAAGCCTCATAGGGGATGAATATCTAATTGGCAAATTAATCTACTCGAAATCTAACCTTTTTCCTTCATCTGGATTTGAGTCAAACAGTGACTCATTTCAGACTCTTGAAAGAACACAGGGCAATACCCGATACTGAATATGCACAGACTTCCCTCTAAGGATATGCAACAGAAAAAAAAAAATCCAAGTCCACCAAGCAAATGAAACATTGTACGGTTCAAGAAAAGGAAAGACTCAAAATCACAGCAGTATTTATATAAGAAATGTATACGACATAAAAGAGAAAACCTCAGAAGAATATGAGATCAGAAATGAGACTGTATTAACCAAAAAGAGGGAGCAAGAGAATGAATTATGAACTTAAATGAAGGCAGTGCATAAACAGAGAACAGAATAAAAACTACTGCCCAAAATAAAACTACTGAAGATTAACCAGAGCTGGGGTGGGAGAGTTAGGGTGGGGGTGGGGAGGGGTTTAGAGGTAGCTAAAGGTTACAAAGCTCAACAGACATGCTCTGCATGCAGGAGGTCTGGGTTTAATTTCCAAAAACACGTGGTCCCCTCAGTCCTCCAGGTATGTTCCTGAATACTGCCAGGTGTTTTTTTTTTTGGGGGGGGGGGGCGGGAATCAACAAACAAAATGGATTTCAAAGCTTCCATTCCCTGAAAGAGAACAGATAAATAAAACAAAACATACTAAGCAGTGAAAATAAAAGAAACCAAATAATGCAGAAGGCAAGAAATCCTCAATGCTCTATAAACATACATAAACAGAAGAACTTACATCAAAAAATGACATTTGAAATTTCTGTTTTCTGCAGAGAGCTCTGCAATCTAGCAGGAATCAAGTACAGAAAATGCTGGACTCCAAACCTGGAGGAACAGGACTATGAAATACAAGAAGGCCAAAGCTAGAATTTGCCTTTCTTAGTGTCTAGTCCTCCTACCAGAGCTAAATAGATTCTGAAGTAAGTCTTGAATCATGTAAGGCTGGAAACTGGAAGAATCTCTCTGGAATCTGAGCAGATGAAAAGACAATAATAGTAACATCAGCAAGAAGACACCAAATCCATTGAAACAAAAACAGGAAGCATAAAAACAGATTATTTGAAATGCAGTAGGACGAAATACAAAATGAAGAAACAGTCCCAAACTGCATAGTGAAAAAATCAAAGTGAACAAAAACAGAACCATAAGAACAAGAAAGTTACAGAACTATTCCAGGAGATCTAATAGCCTGATAAAATCAATTCCAGAAAGAAAAAATAAAGGAAAGGAAAGGGTGGATGGATATGTTATAAATAACTAATGCAAAACTTTTTCTTAAATGAAAAGTCATGAAAGTCCTAAGTTCACTGGCCGTAAGGGCCAACTACCTATTCTAATTAGTTTTTGATACATCCACATGGTACACATTGTCACCAGGAGATTTTCGTTCTAAAATAGAGGGGTTCTGAGGCGGGGGTGGGGAGATTATAAGGTATCAGAAAATATTTGGAGTAGGAGAGAACTCCTTATCACAGAATTAGGAACCAGAAAATATATAGACTTTTCACCAGCAGCCTGGAAACAAACAGACAATGGATCAATGAGGAAAGTGATTTACGACTTAGAATTCTATTGGAGGATGTTCTTCAGCAGGAAACTAAGAAGGAAGGCATAAGGAGTGGCCCCAAAGCCAAAAACAAGCAAAAAAATCAAGGAGGAGGAAAAGAGTCAAATGACAAGGGGAAAAAAATTGAGTGGACACAGCCATCATCCTGGCCAGGACAGGATATAGAAGTAACTATCAGGATTTTGTCAGCAATATGAAGAATTACACATTCAGCCATTTTTCCAGCAATACACCAAGATTGAGCAGCTCTTGTTAAATATGAAATGACCAGATTATATTTTATCCCGAAAATCCTACTTGAGGACTCAGTATAAATGTGACGAATCAAATGTGCTTAGAGAAGATTCACGGGCCTGAGCAGCCCACCAATACATGCAAATACAGAAAACCTGTGGTCATAATGGTGCAACCTGCCCTCCCCCCCAACTGCAGTGAGAACATCTAGTAAAAGAACAGCTCTATAATTTAAATACAAAATAGCATTGAGTGGCTGGAGTGATAGCACAGTGGGTAGGGCATTTGCCATGCATGCAGCCAACCCGGGTTTGATTCCCAGCATCCCATATGGTCCCCTGAGCCCCGCCAGGAGTAATTCCTGAGTGCAGAGCCAGAAGCAACCCCACACATTGCCAGGTATGGCCCAAAAAGAAAAAAAATAGTACTGAACTAA